AACTGGTTCATCCAGCAGCTCTCCTTCCACTGAGCCTTTATCCTGAAGGTGTCCCTCCTCTGCCTCTCTCAGCATGTGTGGCTCCAGCCAGCTGTTGCTGGGCAGCCCAGGGGAGCAGGGATGGGCACACACAGGGCACAGTCTGCCAGCTCCTTCCTCCCTGCCTCTCATGCTCACCCTCCTTTGCCATACCCTGCTCATTCCTTACCCAAAGACAGTGGAAGCCAGAAACTCCTCTTTCATCCTGTCCTTTATAGCACTCCCCAGTGCTGCTGGATGAGAAGATAAAACCGTAGATTACAAGTAACAATTATTTTGCATACTGTTCACTGCTAAATCTGGAAACTGTTTATTTCCTAAAGAATTCCTTTTATGTGAGGCTCAAAAATCCACCTTACAGTATAGGAAAGACCCCAAAAAATGTACATAGTTATGGAAGTAGAATATCTCCAGCTAGAAGGAGACATACATATACACAGAGAAAGCAAGAATACAAGTTACTTTTTGGAGAACAGTGGTGATTGTCTCAGAACACTAAAAGCCTAAATGGAGTAGGCATCTCATATGTAGTTCATGATTACAGGATAACGAACAGATGACATCAGTAAATACCCAAACTCACAAATTCACATTGTTTTACTGCATCAGCCATCATGATGTATTCACAGAAATCAATATTGGCTTCTACTTATACTATATGAATAAACACTTCTTTACTTCCTTAGCAGCATCCAGACTACCTTAATAGATTCTAATGATCAGTAAAACTTATATCCTGCCCTCCATCCAGTTCACAGAGTTTTTGCTTTGTTTTTTGCTGCATTCAGTTCCTTATTCAGAAAGACTTGGTGGATATGTTTGTTCCTTCATTTATATACAGAGAAGCAAAGCCAGAAAAACTGATAGGTAAAGATGTGTAAGTAGTGTTCAGCATCCACCTGCAGATACGGTGGGAAGAAAGAAAATTATCTCCACATTTTTCCAGACTTTTTCTGCTCCTTGATATTTACTCTCCCAGAAGGACAGCAGCATGATGTGCACTAGGCAGGAAGGGTAATGATCTGTGCCAAATTTTATGTGCTTATGCTTCATGCTGTGGTCTGACTTTTTTTCCCCTGCCAGCAGACAGATTAAGTAGTGGCTTCAGGACTGTGCAGGACTCGAGAGCTGTGCTGGTGTATGGACCAGCACAGGACTAAAAGACTACTTGAAGTGGGTTAAGGCTGGCACCAGGCAAGTATTTAGTTCATACTTGTTCTGCAGCAGTCTGGGAGTGTCCCCATGGGAAACAGGTAGGGAATAATTAAGGGCTCTTAAGCCAGCAGACAAGGATATTACAAGGATAAACATTTCAAACTGAAGACAGTTAGATGCAGAGTTGTAGAGAAAGCCTATTTTTTTTCTGTGGGGGATGAAACCTATTGGAACAATTTACCGAACACAATGGTAGATTTTCACCACAGGCAATTGCTAAAATATGCCTGGCTATGTTATTAGATTTCATTTTATTTCTTTTTCCTGTGAAGTATTATCTAGTTTGACCAGGAATTAATTCCAATTTAGCTGATGGCTTGGGTTATGCAAGATCCAAAAGCCACAATGGTTCTATTAAGCCTCATAATCTATGAATCTGTACTGAGTCTTCATAACTTTGCACGAAAAGGAGCATGAGGGAACACAGCTAAATATTTGGGACTTCCAAAATGCTTACAAATCAGGCATAACTTTGAGTTTCCCCAAGCCCTCATGGGTTGCTGTACCAACCTGCCTCCTGGCCTTCCATCCCTGGAGGCTCCCAGATAGTCATAGACTGGAAATTTTCCTGCATTCAACATATAAAAATAAAAAGGCAGTAAAACAGGTGGAGAAAGAAGCTGTTCTTTTATACTCTGTTTTTAATTGAAGGGATTATAAAACACTTCAGGCATACTGAGAAATCAGGACTTTGTTCCTAAATAAAAAGCTGAAGCTATTATTATTTTTTTAAATCCTTGTTCCTCCTCCTACAACCATGGTTATTATATGCATGCATTTGCAGTGTAATAGAATCAGTATCATCTCTGTGTCTTATTACTGTTGCAATCCCCTAACATGCTGTTCCTTCCATCCCACATGAATCTGGTAATTACTGCTGAGGCATGCCATGCGTACGCTTTCCCTTCCAAGGCAGCATCAGCAGTACCACAAACACATTTCCTACATATTGGTAAACACAAGCAACTGGGACAGTGCATGCTGTCTTGTAAGCCAATTCCAGGACATGGTCCTTGCTCACCAGAAAGCTGCACCTGTCTGAAACTCATGGACATAGAAGTAATGTATGCTATGAGACAGGGGGAAATGCACTGGACTTACTTGTGCCTTGGTTTTTGCTGTGTGTTGGAGCGAGCCCTGTGAGAACTGGCAGTGCTGTGCTGGGCTGCTCAGGTGAGATGTGATGAAGATAGGTTACAGGAGCTTCTGTGTGCCTCTGTGTGGTGCCAGTGTGGGCCAAGTGTGTGTCAATATGCTCCCTCCTGAAAATAATAAAACAAAAAAAAATTAACCTGCATCTCCTTTTACCTTCTCTTTTTAGGCTCATGCCCCCAGACTGTATTAGAGCTGAAAACAGGATTTGCTACAGCCTGTAACTAGTCCAATTCTTCTCCCCAAACACCATATCCTCATGTTTAGAGCAGAAAACAAGCAAAAAATCTCACAGAATAATAATCTGGCTGCTGGTGTATTAGTGTTGTAGAACAGCAGATCTGCCACACACATCTTTCCTGATCTTAGCAATTTTTGCTCATGAATTCAGCTGGATAAAGAGAAACAGAATGGAGCAGATCTGAGTGCATTTCAGAATCCCAATCTTGTTTAAATTCACACAGCACCACACCGAAAGCATGCTTCAATGTGGAATGCTCCTGTTCTTGTCACAACCTCTCCAAATTTTAGATAGGGAAGCTGCAACTGCTTCAATCCCAAAGGCAAACTCCAGCACTATTCCCATCCAGGAGCGCTGCAAAGGCATCTGTGCTGGCTGCTGCAGGATGTTACCTTTTCCAGTCTCAAGAAGAGAGATAAGAATAGACAGTAGATTTTTGCTGCTCCTAAAATGTGGGCTCTGATACATAATGGCTAAAGAATACCACGAGCTGACAGTACCACTTTTGCCAATTCCACAACTCTTTTGGCAGCAAACCTTTACATTCTAGAGACTAAGTAAAGTGCGTATGGTACCATATAAGAATCCGGCACTAATATATCCTGCCTTGCTAGCACTTTAAAAATTCCCTGTAGAGTGCCTTTTTGTCCCCGGCCCCCAGTGTGAACCCAAAGTTTTACCTTTAGATAGAGATCAAAAGCAGCCATCCTTTCCCATCACAAAGATCTGTGCCCAGGGCATGGAGCCTAAGCAAAGTCACAATAACCCAGATCCAACACCTTGTTCTTTTTAAAGGCAGCCAAACGCTACACCACAGCATTTCAATGGGGCAGTGGGACTAATCCAGCCAGTGGGAATGATGGTGTTAGGTGTGGTTAAATCTGGCTGCTCAGTACTCGGGGAGCGCTCCAGAGGGTGGAGGGATTCCGGCTTGGGACTGCCGCTTCCTGACAGCCCGGTTTGGTGGAGGGTGTTGAACTTCCCTAAACGTGTAGAACACTAACGTGCTGGGCAGAGCTCGGCTCGGAAGTTTGGGAGGGGGCTGCTCCAGCTGGAGCGGGGGTATCGGTGCTGATGCCAGATCCGGGATTTGCAGCACCGCTGCTCCGAGAGCCTGACTGTGCATGATGTGTGTGATGTGTGATGTGTGATGCGTGCGTCTGTGTGGCGTGTGCGGAGGATGTGTGCGGGCTGCGCGTGTCTCCGTGCGGTGTGCGTGTGTGTGCGGTGCGTGCGCGCCCGCCGGCTGGCTTTTGCCGAAGAAGCCGCTTGACTTGCTCTCTATTTTGAGGGCACGTATTCAGGGACTCGGGGCCAAAAATTCTCCGGACCCAGGTAAATCCGCTTTTTACCTTATTCCCCTTCCCGGCTCCGCGTGCCCGCGCTGTCCTGCAGGTGCTGTCAGAGCTCTCCCGCGAAGAGCAGCCGAGCCAGGAGCGGAGCCGGCTGCGAGAGCCACGAAGGGAGGGGGGGACGGGGACGGGGACTGGGACAGGGGGGCTGGGAAAAACGTGTCCCCCCCGCCCCCGGCTGACGTCAGCGCGGCTCCGCGCGGGGCACCCGGCAAAAGCGCCGCGCCGCGCCGCGCCCCGCGCACAGCCCCGCGCTCAGCCCCGCGCTCCCGCAGCGCCGCCGCTCCGGCCCCCGCCCGGCCCAACTTCCCGCACAGCCGCGGCCGGGACGGGCCCGGCCTGGACGGGACGGGACGGCGGCGCGCCGCTGGGCTCCTCCTGAGGCTTGAGCGGGCGATGCCGCTCGCCGCCGGGCGCCTGGCTCCCGGGGCGCGGCGGCTCTCGGCGGCGGCCACTGCCCCCACTGCCCCCTCGGGCGGCCCGAGAGCAGGTACGAGCGCGGGGTGGGGCGCGGGGAGCGCGGCCCGGGGGCGCCGCTGCAGCGGGGAGGGTTTGCTGTCAGCCCTGGCGTCTCCCGGTTTAAGATGCTAGCAGGCACCGGGAGCCGGGTGCGCCGCGGCCCCGGGACGGGCAGCGGGGACGGGATCACGCTGCCGGCCACCGCCGGGGCGGAGGCGGCGGCCGCGACGGGCGGGGGATCGGGCGGAGAGCCCGGCGCTAGGCACCCGGGTTTCGGGGAGCTCCCCGACGGGGCTTCCCCCTCAGCAGCTCTGCAGGCGCTTTCCGAGAGGAAAAGAAGGGAGGAGGAGGGGGGATTCCAGAGGAGTTTGGAAGTCGCTGCCTTGCAGCTCCCCTTCCCCTCCAGCCTTCCGACCTGTTTTCGCTCTCCCCGTGCAGCCTCTGATCCCGGCCGTGTTCACTGGGGATTTCTTCTCTCTCTCCTTACCTGTCTCAAAAGGTTTGACTGTAGGTACCAAAGCGGGGATCGACGGCGCATAAAGATGCTGAAGGGTGTTTGGTTGCTCAGTTTGTTAACAGTGGCTGGGATCTCGTGGACAGAGAGTCGCAAACCTGCCAAAGACATTTGCAGCAAGAGCCGCTGCCCTTGCGAGGAGAAAGAGAACGTGCTGAACATTAATTGTGAAAACAAGGGATTTACAACCGTCAGCCTCCTCCTGCCGCCCCCGTCCAAGATCTACCAGCTGTTTCTCAATGGGAACGCACTGACGCGCCTGTTCCCCAATGAGTTCGTCAACTATTCCAACGCCGTGACCCTGCACCTGGGCAACAACGACATGCAGGAGATCCGCACAGGGGCCTTCAGCGGCCTCCGCACCCTCAAGAGGCTGCACCTCAACAACAATAAGCTGGAAGTGCTGAAGGAAGACACATTCCTGGGCTTGGAGAGTCTGGAGTACCTGCAGGCTGATTACAATTACATCAGTGCCATTGAAGCCGGGGCATTCAGCAAGCTGAACAAGCTCAAGGTGCTGATCCTCAATGACAACCTCCTGCTGTCCCTGCCCAGCAATGTCTTCCGCTTTGTGCTCCTCACTCACCTGGACCTGCGTGGGAACCGGCTGAAGATGATGCCTTTTGCTGGTGTGCTGGAGCACATTGGAGGCATCATGGAAATCCAGCTGGAGGAAAACCCTTGGAACTGCACCTGCGACTTGCTGCCACTCAAGGCCTGGCTAGACACCATCACTGTGTTTGTGGGTGAGATAGTCTGTGAAACCCCTTTCAGGCTTCACGGGAAAGATGTGACCCAGCTCACCAGGCAAGATCTCTGCCCTAGGAAAAGCTCCAGTGATTCAAACCAGAGGGAAAAACACCCTGTCCTCTCAGACCCACACATCTCAAGGCTATCGCCCACAGCCAACTCTGCCATCAATCCCACCAGGGCCCCAAAAGCCAGCCGGCCACCCAAAACTAGGAACCGTCCCACCCCCCGTGTTTCTGTGTCAAAAGACAGACAAATATTTGGACCTATCATGGTTTACCAGACAAAGTCTCCTGTGCCCATCACCTGCCCAGCTGGCTGCATCTGTACGTCCCAGAGCTCGGACAATGGCCTAAATGTTAACTGCCAAGAGAAAAAGATAAGTAACATCTCTGATCTCCACCCCAGGCCAACCAGTCCAAAGAAACTTTACCTTACCAGTAACTATCTGCAAGTCATTTATAGAACCGATCTCACAGAGTACAGCTCTCTGGATTTGCTACATCTAGGAAATAACAGAATTGCAGTGATACAAGAAGGTGCCTTTACAAACCTCACAAGTTTACGCAGACTTTATCTTAATGGCAACTACCTTGAGGTTCTGTACCGATCCATGTTCGAAGGGCTGCACAGCCTGCAATATCTCTACCTAGAGTATAATGTCATTAAGGAGATCCTGCCACGCACATTTGATGCTCTGAGTAATCTTCATCTGTTGTTTCTCAACAACAACCTGCTCAGATCCTTGCCAGATAAAGTCTTTGGAGGCACTTCCCTCACCAGGCTCAACCTCAGAAACAACCATTTCTCACACCTGCCTGTGAGAGGAGTCTTGGACCAGCTCTCAGCTCTGATTCAGATAGACCTCCAAGAGAACCCTTGGGACTGCACATGCGACATCCTGGGGCTGAGGAACTGGATAGAGAAAGTCACTGACCAGAACAACCAGCAGACAAATCCCCCTGTAGTTATCAATGAAGTAATATGCGAGTCTCCCACCAAGCACTCTGGGGAGCATCTGAAATTTCTGAGCAAAGAAGCCATCTGCCCAGAAAACCCCAACTTGTCAGATTCTTCTGTCCTGTCCATGAACCAGAACACCGATACCCCTCATCTCGGTGTGTCACCCAGCTCTTACCCAGAATTACACACTGAAGTTCCTCTGTCTGTCCTAATTTTAGGGTTGCTGGTTGTGTTTATTTTGTCTGTTTGTTTTGGGGCAGGTCTGTTTGTCTTTGTCCTTAAGCGCCGGAAGGGGGTGCAGAGCATGCCCAGCAGCGCCAACAACGTCGATATAAGTTCATTTCAGCTCCAGTATGGGTCTTACAACACTGAGACCCACGATAAAACTGAAGGACATGTTTATAACTACATTCCCCCTCCTGTTGGACAGATGTGCCAAAACCCAATCTACATGCAAAAAGAAGGGGATCCTGTTGCCTATTACAGGAATCTCCATGAGTTTAGCTATAGCAGTCTTGACCACAAAAAAGAAGACCCCACCAGTCTTGCATTTACCATCAGTGCAGCTGAATTATTGGAAAAGCAGTCCTCACCAAGGGAACCAGAGCTGCTGTATCAAAATATTGCAGAAAGGGTCAAAGAACTCCCCACCGGAGGATTAGTTCATTATAACTTTTGTACCTTACCCAAAAGGCAGTTTGCCCCTTCCTATGAATCCAGACGCCAAAACCAGGACAGGATAAATAAAACTGTTTTATATGGAACTCCCAGGAAATATTTTGCAGAACAGTCTAAACCTGAGCATCCTTTACTCCAAGGAAAGCTACAAACAGAACCAGACTACCTCGAAGTTCTGGAAAAACAAACTGCAATCAGTCAGCTGTGAGGGGGGAGGTGGGAGACAAAGGAAATTTTTTAAATGAGCTCAGCATCACATTTCTTTGAGTTTGAACTCAGTACTGATGTCATCTGTCACGTTCCCAACATTTCCACTTTTTTAAACCGGAGAAGGAGTGAGAGAGAAAAGGAACCTTTGCAGCATAGCAGGGATGTGGTGTGGCTTTTACAACGTTCCCTTTAAGTTATTTCTATATCTCTCTCCTTTTGACCCTTCTCTAGGAACTGTCATTGCAAATGTATCTTTCTGTAATAGATCTTGCATAGTTCTTTTTTGATTTTGAAGGAAATGAAGAAGGGGGTCTTTGGGGTTTCTGTTGATTTTTTTTCTTTTCATTTCAAAATGGAAACTTAATGTATTATGTAGAAGATCTCCAAAGATCTTTTTTCCTGGACTATGACTTTCTTTTGTAAATAATAATATACAGTACTGCTGTTTCAATTACCGACTATAGCCACTGGGCGTCACTTTTTTGTGTTAAAGTGCCTTTGCACTTAAAGTACATTATTACTTAATTGTTGCTCTTAGCTTTGATAAATTGAACCTATTTTAATGTGTTGTATTTTTGAAATTAAAAAAAAAAATTGTAAAATAGATCTATATGTCAGCTGCATTAAATCAGAAGGTTTGATTTATAGGAAAGCTGCCCTTCTTTAAATGGCTCTAGTTCTAGGACCTTACAAACTCAAATGTAAATTATTGGGGTATTTTTTCCCTCTAGGTTTGTTTAGAGTGACTCACTGAAATCAACTGAAAGGATTTAGCAATGGACTAGAGGTTATCAAATGCCTCAGCTGGGAATAACAGCTCATTAATAAAAGATGTTTAACACAATGTCATAGTGAACTGAACAATTAATGTCCTCCTTAATACGTTGCATTGCAGCTCTAACACAGTAATGTTCAATGGTTTAAGATTATTTTCATACTTAACAGAACATTACTCATTTTATGCATTGGATTAGGTATTTTTATACATTTTGTGACAGAGTTTATATTTGTAACTTTTTGGACTGAAATTAACATGTCCTCTTCCTGCCACGTACATTTTTTTTTCATAAGCAGGGACACCAGCAGGGGTCATCCCACACCTCATTAAATTTATTAACATACAGGCAAATGAATCAATGCCAAAGGTAAAATTTGAACCCAAGACTCTGGAGTTTTCCAAATCAAGGTAGCTGAAATCAGTATGTGCATCCCATTTGGTAGTCTGAAATATGTCTATGTGCTTTTTGTCTCTAAAGCAGAAGTAATACTGCAACGATTCTAATCTGTTAGAGAAAACTACCACTAAGTTCACTGTCTTAAGTTTTATAAAATGTTTTAAGTTAACTAAATCTCATTCTCAACACTGGCTTTCTGAAACCCATCAGTGAACAAATGCAGTGAGTCTTCTTTCCCATTAACTCAGGCCTGTTTTGCTTCAAGCTTTATGTTATCACCTTCAATTTACTTTTCCTTCATGGAGAATATTGAAACCATTTTTATTACAAGTATACGGTCAAACTTTATTAAGCCTTATTAGCTTCTAAATAATTTTTAGATGCAAACATTATTGTGAAATTTAAACAAACAGCCCTTATTTACAACAAAAACAGTTTTGTTTTGTCTGTTCTAAATCCTTATGCAACTGGGATGGTGATCTGCATATAAAGTAGGCCAGGCTTTTCAATTCCTTATTAAAGCAATTGATGGGGTCTGAAAGAAGCACACTGTTTCCTTTTCATAAATAGGTTACTGCACATAATAATCCTTTATTATCATGCAGAGATTGAAGTGGCCTCTGCTGACTGATTTTAAGAGCTTTACTATAGTTAATAATACAGTATCTGCAACTTGGAGAAAATTTCAGCAATAGCATTTAAGCTATAAATAACTACAATCAATGTTGTTCTAATCAGGACTTTGCCAAAAGGAAGTTGCTTTATATTTAAGAGCTAAAGAGGCTTTGCATGTGTATTGCCAGATATCTGAGTCACTTAGTAAAACGTCTGCTAATGATTTATGTGACATCTGAGTACATTAATATGCTAACATGTCAATTCTTTATGTTTAGAATCCATAGCATCTATGGCTGTTCATTAGATCAGGTTTAAAATTGAAGTGCTACAATGAACTACTGAAGAATCAGTCTTCAAAATGGTCTCACATCAAGGAGGAGGTGAAATGATATCACTTTAGTTGAACTTGGAACATTTGACTGGAATTGCATCCATCTTTGAGCAAGGTACTTGCTTGAGAGCTTCCAGTACTGATTGTCTTTTTATGGCTCCTTCCCCTGGGTAATTAAAAGCATTTATTACTGAAACTGAGAAAAGTATAAGTATTATTTTAAAGTAAAGTTATTTACTCTTTCCAGGTATGAACGTAGTATTGCCTGCAGATAAAGTACAATGTTATTTCTGGCAGCAGCTAGGGTATTATTATTTATTATTCTCCAGTGAAGCAGAACCAATTACAAAGGGTTTTTTTCCTCAGACAAAAAGCTAATTTTTCCAACAGAAACGTTTTCAGTATTCTAGTGTTTGCAAACAACAGAGATATTGAATTGATTCTTTTAGTAATGTTATATTGTTTGGTTTTAGTGCTTCAGTCTCAGTACTTTGATGTTTGCTTTGGTAGAACAGCCATACTTTACAGAGGTTGTTGTTATTTTACATTTCCTTAGGTTTCCTAGTGGAATTTATTTAATGACTAGATTTTATTTTGCATCACCAGTACCAGCTTAAAAATTATTATTGCTGTAGATCTTTTAGGTTTGTTTTTATACCCTTCAGCTGACATCTATTAAGCAATTCTTTTCATTGAGTGCCTAGGTGAAAGAGAAGATTTTTTTCAGTTTCACTTAAAGAGATTTGTTTAACAGGGAAAGTGTGTCGGCAGCTGCTGTATAGAAGTTCTCCATATTTCTTCAGCTGTGCTGCCCTGGTAGCTGGTGCTTGTTAGGGGAGAGCTGCTTGCCTGAGTCGTGGCTTGATAATGAGTCTGAAAAAAAAATCCACAGTTTGAAAAGTTGAACTATGAAAATTATGTAACCAGGTTAGCAAAGTTGTTTTTATTCCCTCAGGAGAATGGGGTGCAAATAGTTTTCTTTCTTCAGGAGTTTTCTTTTGTGAAAGTGAACTTAATGACCTTTACAGAAACAGTAACAGTGCAGACTGAAGCACTGTTGAAACTATGAACTAGTGAAAATGAGGAGCGCTACACTACCAAAGCATGAATACTTTTTTTATTTTATTTTTTGAGACCTTTCTGAGTAAGTATTAGATGAAGTTTATCAACATACTTTCCTTTTTCTCCCCAGTGACAGAAAAAAATTCACTTTTTGGAAAAAGTGTTCTTTGTGCCCTCCAAGCCTGCTGCAGAGCCACTCCACATGCCCAGTGGTGCTCTTCCTTTCTGCAGTCTCTGTCTTCCATCGGATTTTACCTTTTTGGAATAGCATATTCCAGCATTTGCTCAGCTCCTACCTCACCACCATTATCTCCTTCCAAAGCCCTCATTGTGCCCCAATCTTTCCACTTGCATCTGTCCCTATAGGCTCTCCATTCCTTCCCTAGCAAGCTCTGAAGGACCCATTTCAGCTTTGAAGGGAGCAGATGTCCCTGCTCCAGCGATTGCTCAGTCCTCACCTCCTTCCTGACATGGCTGAGTATCCCTGTGTCAAACGAGACACCTGATCCCAGTGGTTTTCCTGGGAGCTGTGCTGGAGAAGTCTGCATAGCTGTTCCCTCTTCCCCTCACTGATCAGAGAAGAGAAGCCTAAAATCACTGTTTCAGCTTCCATGCAGGGTTCCCCATGTACCAGCCTGGGGCAGGTGGCATAACTTTGTGTCTATGCAAGCAGCACTTCTGAGCAGAACAAATGGATAAGCTTGCTGAAACCAGTGACATCACATCACTCTTTCCTGTAATTTTGGTGAGTTATCTGTAGCATGAGTTAATCTTGCCAAAATTAGCTACTAAAATTTTACACTCAAACTGGTTGTGTAGCATCTCTAGAGTAAATAGCAAAAATACCAGGCCATTCAGAGGTAATTTATTCCTGCTCACAATACAAGGCATGAATTGGGCTACAAATATACCTGCTTTCTTCCAGGAAGTGTAGAGAGGATAGATAATGAGTGCTGATAACAACTAATCCCCAAATAGATGCTGTCAGCCCAGCCTGACCATTTTCCAGCATACCCACATGCAACATCCATGCTCTGCTGAGTATCTGCCAGTCTCAACTCCAAGACAGGTTTTTTTTGTCCATGAGAGAAACATTCTCTGTGGAGTTTAAACCCTATTCTGGTCAAATGCACTTTTTATAACACCATCCTGTGCTATACAGTAGGGCTTAGTTCGGCTTTCGTTCTCTTCCCACCAACACTTGAGTTTGTAAAAAAAAAAGTCATACTTTTTAAAAGTTTGAAGCTGTAATTAGTAGTGCCAAGATAAGGATATCAACAGGTTAAATTGCCTAAAAAAGTCCTATAGAATAGTGAGCTTGTATAGGAATACAATAATTTTAAACTGCTCATGAGTGAAATGAGATACTGGAAATGTTAATGAAACTTCTTAGGCTCTTACAGGCTAATCAGTGATACAGTTTGTGATTTGTCATATTACTGTTTTTGCAGACAAAAAATACCATCTAACAGAGAAGAAGAAAAAAAAAAACTATTTCCCAAAGACCTTCTCCAACTGTGGAACTTCAAAATAACATAAATTAACTTATGCAGATGATGTGACACTTCTTGTGTATTTCCCATCACTTTTTCAAAACGTTCCATAGGAGAAGTACAAAAGTTATTCTTTTCTAAGAGGATCATTAAGTCTGTTTGGATTATTGATCTCATAGCTTTTCTGGGCACAAGGCCAATCATTTTGACTAAGGTTTTTAATCCTAGCTAATGAGGGAGGTGGATTAAGGAGAAGGTTTTTGTTGTTTTTTTGTTCTTGAAGGGTTGGTTGGATCTTTTGAACCAGTAGATTGACATGTTTATGAATACAGATGAATAGATGGTTTTGAATGAAAGAAATGTTGGAGTGGCAGTTGGAGATGCAGTCATTCTCAAGACCAAATAGGCTCAAGAGTATGAGTGAAGTTTGAAAAACAGGACGTCATAATAGTGGCTTTCTTCCTGAGATCATAAACACAGAGGACACCCCTCTGAATACAGCAGCAGATTTTGTTATATGCTGTTAACTATTTGGAGGAGTGAAATTAGAGGCCATTATCCTTAAGGATATCCTTAAGGATAGACTGAAGTGTTCAGGATTTGT